GGTGTGGCATAAATAATATATGGTGATTCTTTCATAGCAGCATGCAAGAAAGCTTTTGCACCTATAAATACGGATTTAATTGTACTGGACTTATGACTCTCTACTTGATTAACTATATTGTTAGTTATACTTTTAGAGAAAGTAAGAGTTCGGGAAATCTAATCTATTTGAGGGTTGTATTTTTCTAACCACGATAAACCTAAAATGACCAGATTAGAGGGAGATCTAATGATATTAAATACTACAAAACTATTATGACCATTGATTATTACTTCTATAGGAAAGGTTTTGTGAGTAATATCTCCAGAAGATAATGGACGACCATCTATGACTTCTACATGAACAGGTTTAGTTTTCTTTATTAAAAATATGCTATGTCTTTTAGTAAATTCTATATTTAAAAAATACACTAAGGCTCCAGAATCTAACAAGGTAGAGACTTTGTAATGTTTAGGTCCTAAAATAACATTTAATGCAAAACAAGGAGAGGGTTTTGAGGAGAGAATAGGACCTTTACTAGATGTTGTACAAGGTTCCAGCCGCACGATCCCTATTGTAGCTGGATAAATTCGTTTTTTGACATATTGTTTTCTTTCACAACCATACTCCTCATTTTGTGATTGATTCATTTCTTTGGACAATGTTGAGCAGTGTGCTTTGGTTCTCCACAATATAAACATAATCCTTCTTGATGATGATGTGTCTTTTCTTGCTCAGTAAGAGGTTTGAAACGTACTGCATCAATTTGCATATCCTCTACTTTCGAATGTATGTGTTGAAGAGGTGTTGGTATTGCCATTGAATTATAGTAACATTGAGGTCCACTTGTACGGTTCTCAGATCGAAATTCAAAAAGGCGATTGTCACACTTCACAACAAAGTCAATTGCTTGATTCAATGTTTGAGGATCAGGTAAGTTGAGCATTAATTTTTTTACCTCATATTATAATTCGTAGAAAAATTGGCTAATAAGTGCAGCATCATCCCACTTGATATCAGTTGCAAGTTGTCGAAATTGTGAAGCATATAAAGTTACTGATCGATTGCCTTGTCATAAAATACGGATCTTATTGGTTGCAACACGAATTACATCATGTTCTCCATACATGGATCAAAACTCTGCCAAAAAAGCCTCTAGATTATCTAATATTAGATCTCATCGTTCAAGAAAAGATGAAAACCATAATAGTGCTGAACCTGAAAGAAGCATACTAATGAATCTAACTTGCGATCGTGGACTTGAAATAGCTTTGGGATTGAAGTTCAATCACAAGTTGCATTTGATTGATAAATCCTCAAAACTTGAATCTGGTGCCATCAAACTTCTTGAGTAGGGTAATTCTTGGTTCTCTAACATTTGACGGGCGTTCCACCATAGGAGAAAGGACATGATTTGGTACAGATGTTGAAGCAGCTCCAACCATTTCTATATCTTCACTTCCTGCCAAACTTGTTGCTCCTTGTGGTGGTAAATTGAGTTGATGCATCGCAAGTATTAACTCCCTCAATTGCTCTTGCATTTGTGCCATTGCACTCTTCATTTCAACAAGTTCTGCCATGATAACACTTAGAAGAGAGAAGATGTCTAATATTGCTCAAGACAAATAGAAGAGAGGACTTGAGAACAAAGAAAATACTAAGGACAATATTAGTTTAGAAGAGGGTAATCCGCAACTTCTAATATGCTTATATCTTATCAAGAAAAAGGGGTAATCTACTCTTAATCAAGATTAGACAATGCTCTGATATTGTAGGTGTACTCTTCTCAATCTGTCAAGGACAAGAACTCGATGAAAAAACAATTCAGACAAGTGAGCCTTCACTCAAAGAGAGGTAACAAAATATATATAAACAAATATATATATTGAAAGAAAAACTGGAACGGCTATTGCCAAAAGACAAGAAAACTAGAGACCCTTGAAACTAGACTAGAAGCAAGAAAGGAGTTGACGAGAGTGAAGAAGCCTTCACTCTTGTCTCTATATATACTATCTAACTAGGGGCTACGTGGCGATGTTCTATAGGACCTCCAATATGTGTTGACTTTATAGGACACATGCCTTGACTTACAAGGCAAGTTTTTCTACGTGTGGGCCACATAGTTAGCTTGATCTTCAAGCTAATAATATGTGTGGCACATGGCCAACTTGTTGACCATGTTTCTAATCCAAAAAGTCAATTAAAGATACCTATGAAGTCAAAGCAGCCTCTATAAAGCTTCTAGGAAGCTTCCATATTAAATACTATAGAATTAACTTACTTTTATCTACTTTTATTTTTTTCTACCTATTTGTATATGTAATTAATAGCTTACATGATTATGTCCGTGACAATCAAAAAGAACAACCACTATTCCATATGGGTGATAAGGTATGGTTACTTTATCGCAATATCAAGACCACTCGTCCTTGTGACAAGTTGGACTATCAAAGACTTGAACTATTTCCTATTTCTGCACAAATTAATTTAGTTGCATATCGTTTAGACTTATCGAAGTCAATAAAAATCCATCCAATATTCCATGTGTCTCTTCTTAAACCATAGAAGACAAAAGAAATACCAAGAAGAAGACAAGTTCCACCTCCTCCAATAGAAATGGACAATAATGAAGAGTTCAAAGTGGAAGAAGTCCTAGATTCAAGGTGACGCTGAAATAAATTAGAATATCTTATCCATTGGTGCGGATATGATATTAGTGAATGCACAAGGGAGTCAGTAAAGAATCTTGCAAATATAGAAAAGGCAATGGAGGCTTTTCATTAACAACATCCATCAAAATCTAGATAAAATCTTTATTATAAAAGAAACAAGATCTAAGCAAGATAACATTCTACTTTCAATCCTTGTTTCTAGCTTCTTTGTAGTTGTGACGCTGAGGAGATGGAGAACCAATAATCGATGGATTTGACTTAAGAATCTTTGTTTGTTGAACTATTGGACAAGACATTATGATTGTCACAACCTTCAAGACAATGCAATCGAGATAAAGATCTTCAAGAATGACATGTTTTTCCTCGAATAGATGGCGAGATACAACGCGTTTGGTATCACGACCTTGGAAGGAACTTCTGATGTTTGATGATTTTACTAGAAGTAGGAATAATTCTTAATAGTGTTTCAAATATTTTATTTGAAGGAAGTTATGAAGGCCTCAACAACGATCAAATAACTGGGTGGTCTTTCCGCCCTGATATGGGACAATATTGATGGTTAAAAGATCCTATCAATCATCTTCAAAGAGAACAAAGATTAGAGTATGTGACAAATACAATTCACTACATCTTAAACTTCTTCGACATGTGATCACCACTTCTCATGGAACTTATCTTTAGAAGGGGAGATAATGTCATGGACATATATTTATTGTAATTGTTATGTAGATGATATGAATAAATAGAAGTAGATAAAAGTAGATTAATTTTATAATATCTTCTAAAGAAGCTTCCTAAAAGCTTAATAGACACTACTTTGACTTTACATGTGTTTATACTTGATTAGTAGGTTAGAAACTTGGTCAACAAGTTAACCACATGCCACACATGTTGGTAGCTTGCACAACAAGCTAACTATGTGGTGTCCACATAGAAAACTTGCCTTGCAAGTTAAGATACGTGTTGTACAAAGTCAACACATTTTTGGAGGTCCTATAGAATGTTGCCATGTAGCTCCTAGGTAGATAGTATATGTAGAGGCAAGAGTGAAGTCTTTTTCACTCTTGTCAACTCCTTTCTTGCTTCTAGTCTAGATGCAAGGGTCTTTAATTTTCTTCTCTTTTGGCAATAGCCATTCCAGTTTCTTTCTTAATATACATATTTAGTTATTTCTATTTTGTCATCTTTCTTTGAGAAAAATCTCACTTGTTTATTTGTTTTAATCAAGTTCTTGACCTTGACACTATATTAGTTCTTAATATAAAAAATGAGATATATAAAAAGATCCAATTTGTAGTATATAATAATAATAATAATAAATCTTTAAATTTTATAATTTTATGTTGTTCATTTTTATTATAAATTTATTTTTGAATAGTTAAATGTACTTAATATTAATTGTAAGAATATGTGTATTATATTTTATTATTAATTTATTATTATTTTTATTTTTATTATTATATTTTTAAAGAATATGCATAATTATCATTGATTATAATATGAAGTTAAGTATATCTAGTTAAACAAAAACTTAAATAATATGAGTTTTTTATACTGATTTATGTATGAACTTATAATTTTATTGTTCACTAATCAATTTAATTCATTTTTTATTTAACATATTTTCAATTATACTATTATTAATTTTATTTACTTGATACCATCACTAACATTTTTTTAAAAAAGAAGAAAGTATAACAAAATAATTTGAAGTAATTTTTAATTAAAAAAAAAAAACAATCCATTTTTCTACTGCTCTATTATTTGAAAGAAGAATGGATTAATTTCTTTATATAATTAAAATTTTGATAGTATTCAAATCTATCAAATATTTCACTTTATAATTTACATCACCAGACCACCTCAGAAGTGCTAAACACATCTATCAGTTAATGTAACTACAACAAATTCAAAAAATATGTAAATTATAAAAAGTTTGAAACAATAATCTTTAGGTTATAACAATCCAGTTAAAATTTTCTTTTTATTGCATTTTATTTTATCACAGGGCTGATATAAATAATCTAATTTTCCCAAGCTGAATCCAAAAAATTTATTATACAAAAACTTTCAATAATAAACACGAACCAAGTGATTCATCAATCAAACATTGAATCCAATAGTTTTAAACACACTCCAATTTTAATTCACTTTTGAGCCAAATGGACTTCTTACAATTGTGCATAAGGGCATCTTTGAACCCTTCCACAAGAATTTTAAAATGGACCAAGAGGTGGAATTAATCTGACATCATCGTCGCTTCAAGTGATCAATTGCTTCAAACCTACATTGTTAGTGCAAATCCAGACCATTCTGTGTTGGGTTAAAGGGTGGTGGCCATCCTATTCTTCAGCTGACAGGCACACCCTTAGCAAGGCTCATGCAAAGCACTAAGTTTGTTAAAACCTTGAGCTGAAAACAATTTCTGTGTGCAATACAATATTCATTGGGTCAGTGGCAGCAGAAAAAGGTGAAGGGTTCACAAGTTGTGACAAGTTTGAGACATGGAAAGATTCAGAACCCAGAGCTATGAATCTTCCCTCCTGAATCACACTTCACCTTTCTGTGTGCACATTGCAGTTGGACTCCTTCGTAGGACTTAAAATGGGTTATACCTGAATATGGAATGGTTGATAGCTACAAAAGTTTCTAAACCCCCAGTTCAGATCTTGTCTAATCTAGTGGTTGAATGTTTCATGCGACTCATGTCGTAAAATCTTTTTGCAGAATGGCTGAAGTGATAGTGGAACGGAGACATGAGTTTACCCTCCATGCGATGGTTTAGGGTTTAAGTGGCTGCATTGAGGGGTTTTTCATGGCGATGACATCGTGTTCGAAGAGAGATAAGATTTTAGATTTGACGCAGGTTTAGGGAGCCGGAAAGTGCATTGATAACAGTTTTGTTTTGGGGTCCATGGCGGCATTAGGTATGTAATAGTTTTTCTCTTCCAACTGAGTTTGCTTGAAGTAAGCTACGCTTGAATTGAAATTTGGCGAAAGCTACGAAACTAAGCCACAGTACTTGAAAGACCGTGAGTCGCTTATTAAGTCCTGGAGGACTTGAGGTGCTTACATTGTCGGAAGCTTGTATATTTTTGTGGGTGAGCCATTCGGTGTCGGATGATAGGAATAATTGGAGAAAACGTGTTTAAACTATGAGTACGTGACATATTTGAAAAGATGTTTTCCTCATACCGAAGCATGAGTTTCGGAGCTTGTGCAGAATTTGAAGCGGAGAATGATGATGGGTTTGTATTCAAGGTCCGCAAGAGGCATTTAGAGTATACAAGTGTTTCCCCTCTGGATACAATGGAACCTTTGAAGGCACTGGTGAAGGAAAGACATTCTCATGAAGATCCGGAACCTGTTGCAGGACACCCATGTGATTTAGAGAAGAAAGCAAAGAGGTTGTTGACACTCAAAGAAATGTAAGATGACCTTCACTTCCTTCTTGGATCATATGTTGGATAGTCTCTCGTCTCCTCTATCGCATGTAAACTGGTGAATCAAAGGCCCTTGATTTCACAAGAATGTTTATGCTCGTTCATGAAGAGAACCTCGGCTGTATTGTGTCCCCTCTACATTGCACAGAAAATCAGTACAGGACTTTGCACATACTCTCCGATTATGAATTTTGCGTTTTGGTCTAGATAAGGTTTTGAATTTACAGAAAAGGAAATCTCCGAACGTATTCATGCAGCAGACGCTAGTTTCAAACTGCCCAAATAGTGAAGAAACCCTCATGTAAACGTGGAAGTTTTGATGGCAGTAGTTTATCCTGAGTGCAGGTATGAAGCCGAGTTAGAGGCGTGGAAGAAATTAGAAGCAGCTGCTGTACCGCTGGTTTTCGAAGAGCCACTCTCAAATTCTGATACACCACTTTCAAGTCCTGAGCAGGATCCACATGCGGAGTTTTTGAAGGAACTAAAAATTGAGGTATCATAATTTTATGAGCTTTCCTGCTTTTTCAACACTGTTTCTGTCACGTGGTCATGCCACAATTCTGTTGTAAATGGTGGCTGGATTGGAATGGCTTTTATTTAGGTTAGAGTCGAGGATGTATCTAAAATTGCGTCTTACAAACCCTTAGCCAACTCCTAATAGCTAAAGCGAGATTCAAGATTTTTGAAGGTGGCCAAACAGTCAATCCTAACTGAAAAACATGTATAATGTTTGCCAATGTAGGTCGAAAACATGGAGGAGTATATCAAGCGGCTGCAGGACCACATTGTGCTCGCAGAAAGCACGTATAAACTGCGTGTGAAGGAAATGCGAGAGGATGCCAACTTTCGGCCAGCAGATCAGATTGTTCTTGCTCTCACTGACCAAGCTACATCCGATGTTGATGTTCTAGCAACCCAAGGATCACTGAGTTCGTCCGCATCACTGAATGATCTGTAAACACCGACTGAGAGGCTGCAAAAGATATTCTGATTATGCACCACCCTGCATTTTGCCCCTGGTGGTCGTGACAAGTTTGTCCTCCTTGGTTTACGCAGAGCAATTAGACAAGGGTTTCACCTACTCCAGATAGAAAGGAATACTCTCTAGGCCATAATCCAGGGCTCGTACGAGGCTTTGATTTATTCCTGGGGCCTATCTTCAGGAGCTCTAGCATTAGTGTTCCAATAGAAACGAACTGTACAATATAGTCGTCCAAATTTTAAAATTTAGTGATACTTTTCTGGGGGCTACATTGTTAGGTTATTCATTTGTAGAACGACGTGGAGTCATTCTTTTCTCTTCACATGTGTCGGAGGGTGATATTTTGCAATACTACAACACATACCAGCTTCAAGCTGAATCTTGAGTTGTCAATGTTTAGACAATGGATCGAAGATAGTAAGCGACCTGAGGTTCGTTGCAAATAAATTGCACCTTGAACATTTTTGAACTATTTTCTATCCATGGAGATGTTCAACTTGCTCAACTTCCAAGTGCAAAAAAGCTATCATGGACTTGAGCTAAAGTACAATGAATCCGAAGACAACGGACTAGGGCGATGTGGAACTGCTCCACTGAAGATTTAACAGTGCCGTACGTTGAACTTCTTCAAGAATCTATACCGACCCAAGAAACTGAATTCACACCTCTCTAGGTTCTTGTCGGCAGTTACTAATTAGAGTCGACTAAGTATAGGAAGAGGTAGGGTTTAAAGAGATTGCATATTTGACAGGGCTATCGGCAGCCACTAGGAATTTGAGTAAGTTGGTTGCAACACTTTGCTCACACAATGTCCGGCATTTCGATTGCTCTTAGCATTTGTTGAGAGCATTAAATGGAGAGCCGGTGCTCTCCATTGTATTTACCTTAGTCTACAATAAATACTATAGCTACAGTATTTGGAATAAAGTAGAGAAGAATTATTTATCCTCTCTCCTTGTATACGAGACACATCTAAATCAATAGACTTTTGTATGAAGCTCTCTCTCTCCTTAGAAACTTTCTTGTATGTATGTGTATTACTTACTACTATTCTTGTGTCTTTCTAAACATTCTCAATGCGTTATTAGCACAATTCTCTTCTATATACTATCGTAATTTTTTTTTTGCTCTAGTCTTGATTCTTCAAACGTATTGCTACTCCTACTCCCTGTGTGATGCATGATCTTACTACACTTCTTATTGTTAAAATAAAAGTAGAATAAGTTACCTTATAGAGGATATTAACTTAGATAAATTACTAGTGGTCAAAGATTTGACTCTTGGTATATGGTAAGGGCATCCAATGGATATAGGATGAAGTCATGGACCAAGAGTCAAAGTCAAAAGGATAAAGTATTAACAAGGGAATATCCAAAGATTAAGTATGGGTCATTAGTATATGTCATAGGATACCTTCAAGGCTCGTAAGGTGCCAAAATGATCTTAGGGCTATGTGTGTAAAAGTCAAAGAGTGGAAGTTGTCTTTTAGGACATCAACCACTACCTATAAGTAATGGGTATTGGAAGTGCGAGACATCTTATTCCATACTCTCTTTGTGTGCAACCTTGTTGATACTAAGTGTTGTGTCTTCAAAGTGCTTGTTTTTCAATAGGTTATGGGCCCACTCACCTTTACTTGTGAATTTTGAAGTACTTTGAAGTCTTTCTTGTTGTGAAGAATAGATCTTATGGTTGTTGGTGAAGTTTGAGTTTACTCTCTTCTAACCCTTCTTATGCATCTAGTTGTTGATGTAGTTTTTGCTCTTACTTGTTGTTAAGTGCATTGATAGTCTTGATTGTTGTTAGACTCCATTTAATGATGTTTTAGAACTTGAGTATTATATTTCTTTGTTGAGTTTCATCATTGGTGCTCTAACTTTGTGCTTTCATATACTTAACTTCATAAGAGATTCTCCTATTATTATAAGAAGTATTTTGTGTAGTTAAAGGGGTAATTGAAGAGTGGCAAAGCTTATGCAAGAGGTTTAGATAGAGTATAAGACTTATGAGAAGTCTTATATATGAAGTTGAGAGTGATACAAGAATGAAATCACTTATATAATTACAAAAAAGGCATTCTGGGTTTCTAAGGCAGCAACACCTTTTTGTTGATTTTGAGAGTTCTATCTTCTCTTTTCTTGATTTTCTTTCACACATCCCTTCCCTAGACACGGCTTCAAGTGAAGGTGAGAGCTTGAGAGTAATTGAAAAGTTTAGAGGTGACAATTTTTACCATTGGAAGAAGAAAATGGAGCTTTTATTGGCTTCATTGGACCTTTGGGACATTGTTGATGAAAGTGAAGACCTTTCAAGTGACAATGTTGATACCAAGGTGAAGGAGTATAAATGTTGTGAAAAGAAGGCTTTTGGGATGATTGCAACAAACCTTGATGATTCGAACTTTTCACATGTTATAGCTTGCAATGGACCAGTGGAAGCATGGAAGATTCTTTGCAACATCTATGAGAGTAGAAACCTTGCAAACATCCTTTGGACAAGGAAGAAGTTCTTGACAGTAAAGATAGAAGAAAGAGATGACCTCATGGCTTATGTTAATAAGATAAAAGTACTTGCTAATCAAGTAGCAGTTATTGACAAACCAGTTGATGATAAGGACATTATGTTGACATTGCTCATGAGCCTTCCCAAATCCTACAACTATCTCATTGTAGCATTGGAGTCCATCAATATGAAGGAGCTTACCATGAACTATGTTACGTCAAGACTTGCCCATGAAGTGACCAAGAGGAAAAATAAGGAGCTTACAAGTGATGATTGAGCTCTATTTTCAGGATAAGGTAAAGGTAGCTATTCTCACCAACGTGATAATTCAAAAAGTAATATGAGAAATTACTATATTTGTTAAAAACTAGGTCATTTTGCTAAAAATTACTACAAGGCCATGAAAGGAGATAGAGAGAATGCAAACAATGCTAGTGATAGTTTTGGTGGAGATGAGTATGCTTTCATGGCAAGGAAAAGAGCCTCCATGGCTGCTATTTCGAAGTGGATTATAGATTCAGGTGCTACTAAGCACATGAAACCATACAAATATTCATTGAACACTTAAAAAGAAATTCCAGCAACAAAAGTGTGGTTGGGAGACAATGACATGGTGCAAGCCATTGGAATTGGCTCCATTGTGGTGGAGATTGTTGTGAAGGACCAAATCAAGAGGATCACATTGAAAGAAGTTTTATATGTTCCAAAAATGAAGAAGAACCTTCTTTCTGTGAGCAAATTTGTATCACATGGTTATAAGATTCAATTTGATATGAATGGATGTTTTGTCAAGACATTGGATGGCCAACATGTTATGGAAGAAGAGTACAAATCACTCATGGACAATGGAATATGGGAATTGACTCAACTTCCACCAAATCAATCTTCAATTGGTTGTAAGTGTGTGTTTAGAACCAAAAGGGATGCAATGGGTAATATTGTGAGATACAAGTCTAGATTGGTTGCTAAAGGCTACTCACAACTTACTGGTGTAGATTTCAATGAGGCATTTGCTCCCATGGTCAAATTCACTACCATTAGAACCATTGTGGCAATTGGGGCAGCATTGGACTTGGAGATGCATCAAATGGATGTGAAGACGGCTTTCTTCAATGGAAGTTTGGAAGAAGAAATCTACATAGAGCAACTTCAAGGATTTGTTGAAGAAGGCAAACAACACTTTGTTTATAAATTGAAGAAATCCTTTTATGGGCTAAAGCAATCATCAAAGATATGGTACCAACGCATTGATATATTCTTTGTGAGTGAAGGATTTGTAAAGAGTGAGGCTGATCATTCTTTATATGTGATACAATCAAATAGGTTCATATTGATTGTCATCCTCTATGTTGATGATTTGATCATCTTAAGCAATACATTGAAGATGATCGATTGGTTGAAGGCAAAGTTAGAAAAAGAATATGAAATAAGTGATTTGAGAGAGCTTCACTATTATTTAGGAGTGGATTTTGTAAGAGATCGTACTAAGAAGATCATTACAATGAGCCAAAGCAAGTACATTGAAGAAGTGTTAAAACGACTTAATATGGAGGAGTGTAAATCTATTGGAATACCATTGGAGGCAAACTTGAAGTTGATGAAGCTCATGGATGAAGAGTTTGCTAAAGTTGAAGGTCAAATGTAAGGTGTTCCATACAAGGCAACAGTGGGCTCACTTATGTATACAATGGTTGGCATAAAGGTGGATCTTGCATATGCGGTGAGTGTTATGAGCCAACACATGTCAAAGGCTCGACCAATCCATTGGACAACCATCAAAAGGATCATAAGGTACTTAAAAGGTAATTTGAACTTCAAATTATGCCTTGGAGGTGATAACATTAGTTTGCATGGTTATTGTGATGCAGATTAGGCTGGAGATGCAAATGATAGAAGGTCAACAATGGGCTATGTATTTTTTGTTGGAATAGGAGCAATTTCATGGAATTGCAAGAAACAACCAATAATTGCAAGGTCAATAATAGAGGCAGAGTACATGGCAGTAAGCCATAGTACAATGGAGGCAATATGATTGAGACAACTTTTGGAGGACATTGGAGATGTATAAATGGAAGCAACTCCAATGGAGTGTGACAATCAAGGATGTCTTGCATTTGCAAAGAATTCAAAGCAACATTCAAGGACCAAGCACATTGACATTCAACATCACTTTATAAGAGAAAAGATTGAAATGGGTGTGATTGATATGAAGTATTGTACAACGGAGGAAATGCTTGCTGATTTGTTGACGAAAGCATTAGTAAAAGATAGACACCACATGTTGACAAAGGTATTAGGATTAAAAGCCATTTGACTAATAACAAAGTGAGAGTGTTAAAATAAAAGTAGAATAAGTTACCTTATAGAGGATATTCACTTAGGTAAGTTGCTAGTGGTCAAAGATTTGACTCTTGGTATATGGTAAGGACATCCAATGGATGTACGACGAAGTCATGGACCAAGAGTCAAAGTCAAAAGAATAAAGTATTAACAAAGGAATATCCAAAGACTAAGTATGAGTCATTAGTATATGTTATAGAATACCCTCGAGGCTCGTGAGATTCCAAAAGGATCTTAGGACCACGTATATAAAAGTCAAAGAGTGGAAGTTATCTTTTAGGGCAGCAACCACTACTTATAAGTAATGGATATTGGAAGTGAGAGACATCTTATTCCATACTCTCTTTGTGTGCAACCTTGTTGATGCTAAGTGTTGTGTCTTCAAAGTGCTTTTTTTTCAATACTTATTAGCTCCTCACACATTAGTTGCTTGCTTAGAGTACTTCCTCTACTCTGTGCCTTGCTTGCCTAGAATATTTGCTCCAATCCAGCCTCCGTGCTACGCCCTGTGCCTACTGCCAAACAGCCACCAAACTATCGCCGCAGCATGCGACCGATCATATTGCTGATATTGCCTTGCCACCATCATTGACTGCCAACTATCACTGACGCCATTGCT